TTCTTGTTTAGTTCGTCCAGGCTTCGCAGATCTTGTAATTAATGCATTTGATCTTGCATTAAATGTTTGCTTGCTGAATTTGTGTGACGTGAAGTCTTTTGTACCGTTTGTTCACATCTATGTCTGACTTCAATCATAACCTAGGAATATCTGTACTTTCCTAGCATTGTAGTTGCAAGGGCATTGTCTTTTATTGAATGGTAGGTGTACTTGCTCTGACGCATGCAACTTTGACTTATGGATACATGTTAGTCCATTTTTCTTTTCTCTCTTCTTCTATTTTTGATGACTTCATGTGTTCCTCTAGGAGTGTGGATGATAAGCAATACTTCACATTGTGACTTAGTGAACTTCAAACGCATTTCATCATTCTTCGTTTGCGTTTGGAAATTTGAGTCTCCTTCTAGGATGCTTCGTCTTAGATTGTCTATCGTCTGTGGTCTTGTATCATCTGAGGTTTCATTATTTTCCTTCTTGTGCTGGGCTTGGTTTTGTTTAATCTCTTCATCTGATGCCTTGTAGCTTTTACCCTTTATCTTGGTTGCTCATGCTTTGTTCTTTATTTTGCGTTGTGTCTGTGTTGGGAAGGAAGGATTGAATTTGCTGTAATGCAAAGCTTGTAGTTTGTGGGTAGCTTTATCTTGTGATTTTATCCATCTTTTGATCAGACTTCATTCGGTCCTTAGCTCACTTTTATCTTGGTTCTGGTGTAGAAAGTGGTACATGCATATACTCTATTCTTCAATTTGTATGTACTTATATTTTTCTGAAACACTAACGCACTTTTTAGAAATAACAATATGCATTATATTTGTCTCATTCAAAACCTTGCTGGGAATTGATTTGTCTGACTTAACATATTGAACCTCTTAGTATATGGGAATGACTCCTATATGATTTCTTGATTAATCTTTATTGAATCAGTTTAAAAATAATTTATATGCAGTGCTTGTGTTTCAGTTAAACCATTTTAATCATACAAGCATATTAATCAAGACCATGCATTTTAACATTTAATTGAAGGTTGTTCAATGTAAGAGATAAGGATGAGAGAAGAATGCAAAGTGTTTTATCCTGGTTCAACCACTCCACATGTGACCTACATCCAGTCCTCAATCATAACCTGATCAAGATTTGTTCCACTATCTTAATGAAGAAGTTTTACAAGCATACCACACATGCACAGACTTCAACACACAAGATAGACCCTTTCTTGCACCCAAGAAAACACTTCTTGTAGAAACCCACTACAAGAATTCCTTACCACTTGAGAAACCTACTCATGCCTTAAATAAAATGGAGGTGTTGACTTAAAAATTGTGAACCTTGATTTAAAAATACCAAATATTTTCTCAATCACATTCCTCAAAAATGCATGATAAAGATTGGACAATTCTTTCTCATTTTCAGGGTCATTACCCTGACAAATCTCAACACCATGGTCGTGGTTCATGGCCATGGCCGTGGAGAAAAAATTGTAGTGGCAGCGACTTGTAGCCATGGTCGTGGTTCGTGGCCATGGCCATGAAGTGAAAATGCGTAGTGTAAGAGACCTACAACCATGGTCGTGGTTCATGACGATAGCCGTGGGAAGGAAACTGAGCTGGCAGAAATCCAGCGCTAAAGTGCTAATTTGAGCTCTGCAGAGGTGAGAGTAGATGACCGAATTTGGTCTTGAGGTCTTCATAAAAGTTGTCGCCTTGAATGTTAGCTTTTCAATGGCTCTAGAATCACCCAAAAAGGAGGTCTAGAACCCACGTTATGACCTTTTTAGTGAGAAAAGGTCAAGTTGTCAGCATTTAGGAAAATGGTTTCCGTTTTTACAATTTTTAACATGGTAGATGAGGGAATTAGAAACTGAATTATTCATGAAAGTTTTAGAAAATGTTATTGTCTTTCATATGAGATAAGGATGAGAGTGATTGGAGTAGTAGAACTCCCTATGGGTTGTTTTATGTGAAGGTTGTCAGTGTAGAAATATGTGATTTTGATAAATTGTATGTGATACATGTTGTATGATGGGTGAAATTGGTGAACATGAATAGAAGGATTGTGTCTATTGCATGTTGTGTATTATAGGATGATGATAATAGGCTTTGGAATGCTATCTTTGTGTACTTGAAATGATAATAAGCATTGGAATGCTATCTTTGTGTACTTGAAATGGTGGAAGCATTGGTATGCTTTATATTATTGATATGCTATGTTTGAATTAATTATGGAGCATTGACATGCTATTATTGTATGAATTGTTAAGCATTGGTATGTTGTTATTGGTTGACATGTTAAGCATTGGTATGTTGTACATGATTGATGTTGTTGATCTCTATATGCATTGACTGGATGTAATGTATATAGTAGATGTATGATGAGGTGTGGATGCTAAAAATCCAGTGTGGCATTATAGCATGATGGCTAACTTAGGATTTGAGGAGAAAAAGTTATTTTGAAAATTGAAGATCCCACATAGGGTATCTTGGAATGGTGCTCAGGTAGGCCACTATTTGGAAAACCCTCCTTGAATAGTTGTGTCTCTTGGAGTAGGTTTTGAGGTGTGTTAAGTCTCCTCTAAATCCTTAGTTAGTGGTTGAGTAAGGTAGGAGGTCGGAGGCTACAACCCTTAACCAAGTACCTAGAAAGGGTGTGTGGTTCCTTGCGGATAATCAGTGGGTGAATTCCATATGTGACTTGGTAATGCATGCCAAGGTTGTGGTAAGCCTATACCCAGTTGTACTACTCTTGACGGTGGAATCAGACTTTCCTAGTGTAAGTGATGAAACCCGAGAAACCAGATGAGGGATTGGTATCCCATTTTGCTGTGATCGAGCCGACGCTTCAGGTGTGAAAATGATTGGGTTGGTTCGGTAGGGTGGAAATCACTTAGATTGCTCATGTTGTTAGGAGATCTTCGAGTTGAAATGCGTGACGACACATATGTGTTGATATTGTGCTGATATGAGTTGTATGTGTTGATGTGTTGTGAAGGTGTTGTTGAGATGTGTGTTATTTATGTGTAGTGTGTTGTATGTTGAACAAGTTGATGATGATAATAGCGTTGCTATATTACCTGTGTTGTAAGTTGCTTTTAAATATGTGTTGTTGAGAGGTGTGTAATACATGTATTGTTTGTTGTTGTGTTGAATATGGTAACTATTATGATGAGTTGTATAGTAGTTTGTGTTGAGATGTTGATACTATGTTGATCAGTGTTGATGTGTTGAATTAAGTTGAAATGATGTTAAGATGTGTAGTATATGTGTTGTTTGTTATTTGTGTTAAATGTGAAGATGATTATATAGTTGTTGTGTTGCATATTTAATTATTATGAGTTATTTATTTTCTCTAGCTTACCCTTGCACGTTTCCATGTGGTTTGGACTACGATGATCATACGATTTATGGGAGCAGGGTAGGGATAGGTTGGGAGATAACTGCTAGAGGCCTTAGGAGGTCCCTGGAGTGGATGTTCCTTCTGTAAGCTACCTTATAGTAGCAAATTTTTCTATTTATAGTTGGATATTTTTAGTTTCTTGCTTACCAACTTGTGTTGTAAATATTCTTATTATACCATTTTAGTATGTATTCCAGTACAGTGTTTTATTGTTCCGCAGTGTGACGACCATGGCGGGTCATTACAAGAGAGATCATAGTTTTTGTATTGAGAGGGTTCTTTTCCCAACTAAGATACATTTTCATCTCATTCTACTATCATAGAAACCCTAACTCAAATTCATCTTTATATATATATATATATATATATATATATATATATATACCATTACAGTTCTCTCAAGGAACCTTTGCTAAAAGAAAAAGACTAGCACAATTGGCATGCTAATCTCAAACTTTAGGGCATAAAAGGTGTGCATATATATATATTCTTTTTTTGTAGAAATCATGATATCAATTTCATCTTTCATCTTTCACCCTTCCCTTTTCTTGACGCGTGTTATAAAAAAACTATCACTTAAAAGTTGAAATTTCAAGCGTTTTTGTGTTGAAGAACAAGTTTAACTAAATAAAGCAAAATAGAACAAAGAGAACAAAGAGAAAAATAGAACAAGTCAATGATACTTTCATTTACATACTATAGTACAATATTATATATGAGTAATGAACAATAGTATAGTATTAGCAGAGGAAAAAAATGGAGAAAATAGGAGCATAGAAGAAAAAAAAAAGATGAAAAACTCATTTGGAAATCCTTGAAGCACTTGAAAAGTCACTTCAAACAATCCTCCAAAATCTGATGGGTTTGGATGAGATTGTTTTATGAATTTGGTATTTATAGATACTACTAAAAAGTCCTTCAAAATCCCTCTAATACAACAATCCTTAAAAATTCTTATATTTTTAAATACCAATGGATTATTTTTAAGTTGTAATAAGTCTCAAATGAATACCAATATATTTTAATAGACTGTTCAAAAAATCTTGAAAATCCAGATTAATTCTTATATTTTTAAAATACCAATGGATTATTTTTTAGTTGTAATAAGTCTCAAATGAATACAATAGATTTTAATTGACCCTTCAAAAAATCTTGAAAATCCAAATTGAATACCACTAGATTATTTTTAAGTGACATAAAATGTTGATTAAATACTAATGAATTTTTTTTCTAAAAAAAAGTCTTTGTAAAATCCTATGAAATCCTAAGTCAAATTATAATTTTCATTTTCACGATATCAAATTTGTAGAAAATTGTTTTTTTTTTTTAATTTCCCCTCGTGTTATTAATCGGACTGATTTTAGTCACACAAATAGATCATGGATTGTTAAATACACATTTAGCTATAATAACTTTTCAGAACAATAAAGTTGCTTACACTACAAATTCATACTATAATTACATAACCTTTCTAAATGTGACAATCATTCAGAATACTCAGATCATGATAATCTTCAATATACTTTTTAGAATTTCAGGCCCCAATCATGTAGGGAATCAGATCATGATAATCTTCAATATACTTTTTAGAATTTCAGGCCCCAATCATGTAGGGAAATCAGAATGATGGAATATTTTTATTGAGATTCAAGTTGACCAAAATAATACTATATACCCTAAATAAATATCCGCTAAGGTAGAGCAGTACAAATTAATGACTTAGAATAGATTCATGTAGCTAAAGTGGGTTCAAGATTGTTACTTTTTGAATTTTAGTGCATCAAAGCGGGCAGCAAGTTCATCATAATCTGGCAATTTAGGATGTACACGAATGCGGTTATCTTGTTTAGCCAGAGATGAGGGTACCGGTGGTGGAAGCCGATTAGGGGGCACAGTAGCAGGAGGTTCTTCTGCTTCAATTTCTTCATCACAGTCTGATTCATCAAATTTTATATCAGAATATGCAGAAGTCGGATGGTAGCTGTGCCTCCTATAATCATTTCCACCATATTGGTTAGGCAATGTATCCTCATTATTCATTTGGTCAGATCTTGGATGATAGCTGTGCCTCCTATAGTCATTTCCGCCATATTGATTAGGCAATGTATCCTCATTGTTCATTAGATCAGACCTTGGTAAGCCATGTGACATGTTCATTTTCTCCTCAGTTGACATAGGATTGTGTGTACATTTTGGAGGATTGTGTGATTGGAAGGTCACAGAGTTGACTCCCGAGTTATACAACTTATTATTGTAAATATATGGTTGAGGAGCTTCATTGTTGTCCTTCATAGCCATATAAGCAGCAACTTCAGCAGCAGCGATTGCTTTCTTGGCTGCTTCAGCTGCTGCTTCAGCAGCAGCCTTAGAATCTTCATAATGCATTCCACCACCTGATAATCTGATGGATCACCAGAAAATCCTGTTAGAGAATAAGATGATAATATAATGCACATATATAGGTTAAAATCACAAAAATTCCATCACCTAGTTGCTGGCTTATTTGATTCAATTGACACATTTGTAGAGGGTTTTACTGGTAGGGTGCTCGCGCTGACAAAAGCACGTGGCCCTTCCTGACAAAGAGAGAGGGCCAAATTATTTATGAAAATTTGAGACAAAGCATAAGAAAGCAAGGGAGTCCAATACAGAAACGTACTATTAGCTCTTCTGGAGGCTTGAGAAGTTCTTGCTCAGATTCTGTGGTATCCCAATCAATTTGATGTTCCTTAGCTATTTCCTTCAACACTTTCAATTTTACTTCACCAGGAGGTGTTCGTACTGAGAGTTTTTCAATCAACTAAAATTCATTGCCATTCACAAGTCACAACATTAGTATTAATACTTTTGAGGATTATATAGACAAGCAAACATCGAAATCCAAAAGGCAACTTCTTTATAAGCAAATGCAAGCAAAAATGCAGTTAGCAAATGGCTCACTTGGCGATTTACACCACAGCTAGGTCTAAGATCAACAGCCGCAGATACAAAATCTTTCCCATATTTCTTCTCAAAGATATTCTTGAGTGCCACAAGTTCTGGAATTTCAGAGCACCTAGGGGCTGCAAATATCAAGCTAGCGATTCCCTCTTTCAAATCTGCAGGACATTCCCTGAAACAAGTAGATTAGCATTAGAATTTCAAGTCTGTTACTTCTATAATATAATAAAGTAACTGGTTCCCATTCTTCACCTTTGCTTTGCAATGATTGACAGTCTGGCCACAACTAATTCACAGAAGAGTTCAATGAACTCATTTGCAGCCAAAACATTTTGCTCTCTCATGACATGCTCAACCTACAAAGTACAAAGCAACAGAGATCTTTAGGTAAAAATCACAAAATAGTTTTCTAAAAAAAATTGCACTCAATAAATCACCATGCTACCACTCTCATGATAATGAATCTCTACTTTCAAATGCCATACCTCATCGAGAAGTGTGCACTTCCCGTAGCCATTAACCACAGTCACAAAGGAAAACAACCATATAAACCATCATAAATCAATCCCAATTATAGTATATTGTTGAACTTATCCAAGTGAATCTTTACAATGGATACAATTTCACACTAAATTCTCTTTCTTTATAACATGAAAAGTCATCATTTAAGAATATTTTTTGGTAAATATTTAAAATTACACATGGTCTCATCCTGATGCCATTAGATAAAACATCATTAGTAATTTACTATTAGTTAGTACTTAGTAGCTTTATGTAGTTAGAAAATGATGTCACGTGTATTCTTGTAAATGTGATAGATATTTAGGAGATATAAAATATCTCTAAATATCTATTAGATATTTGTTTCCCAAATTTTGTATTATTGTTATTTCCTTTTTCAAGCATAGTCATCTACTTTATAAAAGGGAGATTAGGGAATGTACAGAATACAATTAATATACAGTTTCGTTTTTTGTTCAACTTGTATAAAACGGATACTATATAAGGGAGCCCATCTTGTGATTTGCAATAGAATTGGGGCTTCTGAGCATTAGGAGGTGCTGAATCTCAAAGTTCAGGAATGTTTTTTATTTGCAATTTGTAACTAGAGTATACTCATAATTTTTCTTAATAGGGTACCAGGTTTCTATCAACTAGTATTAAAGGTCCAGAATTGAAGGATTCAAGAGCTGTTCAGGGTTCAGTGAGAATGAATAAGCAGCATATTCTTGACATTATTGGAGAAATAAGGGAGGACATAGAAGGTTTCAGGAGAGAACTCCATGAGCAATATCAGTCTTGAAGGATTCAAGAGCTGTTCAGTGTTCAGCGAGTACGAAGAAGAGCATATTCTTGACATTATAGGAGAAATAAGGGGGGAGGAGAATATAGCAAGTTTCACGAGAGAACTCAAGGAGGAGCATCTAAGAACTCCAGTCTTTTAAGGTGATGTGTATGGATTGCAGATTCAACTTAAGCAGCAGTTTGACATGAAAGGAACTATGAGGGGGAAGCTGCAGGTGGCTGTAGAATAAACAGTTCTGACCTGAGTAAGATCCAGATCTGCCAGTTTAGATTCCAAGATAAAGGTTCATGGATGCAAGAAAATAGAACAGAAAATGAAGGTTGGCAATCAAACAAACAACAGATTGGATGTCAGACACATACAGAGAAATATGAAACTTCCCAAAAAGAGGAAGAAGAAAAGTGCGCGAAAGAAATATCGAAATTAAAGACAACAAGGATGGTGGAAATCAATAGGAAGCACCGAGTTAACATTTGGAACCAAGAATGGAGTGGTCAAGTGGATTGAGAGAAAATTTTGTACCTAGCTCATTCCCAAAGGTGTTCCCCGCTTGCACTATTTTATTTTTACCATCACTAATTAATATGGAATCTCCAAAACAACACCGAGATAGAGAAAGCAGTGGATCCTTCTAAGTTTGAGAAAGATCTTTATTTTGCATGGTGGAGGACCAAACACATGCGTCCAGGTAATAAATAGGAAGTGATGAATGAGAGGAAACCGTCACCATGGACAATGCAATGATGAACATAGATGGAAGGAACATGCAAACAATTGGGTTTCAAGCAAGTCAACCCACCACCACCCCTAGAATCACAAGAGTCAGTTTCTCTCATGGAAGTACATGGGTCATATAAACTAATACTGAATTTTGGACCTCAAACATGCCAACCAAGCTTCCACCACTAGAGTTGGCTCATTGTAAAGTGGTTGATGTGGGAAGGAGAACAAAGAAAAGACTGAACAGGAATTACACCCCAGATGAGTAAAAGAGAAGAATTGGAATTTTAGAGAAGAAAACTAATTCTCTCAAGCGTTGAATGGAACCATCTGAATTGAATTGAACCACTTTCTATGACCTACTGGGCTAGACTCAAGATAATTCGTGGAGGACTTTGACAATCATCAGCACCAACCACTTGCTATAGTGAAATCAACAATGAAGCGATGGAACCTCAGTAGAATAGTAATAGCAGCATTGATTCTCTGTTTTTGATGATTAAAAATACTGCATTCCCAGAAGGTTAAAACTGCTTTGGGAATGCAGTGGTGGGGTCGAGCTGCCTCAATTTTTACCATTGTTATGTTGTCACTGAAGAAGATGCTATTGAAGAAACTATAGAGATAAGGCAGCAACCTAATAGTATCAAAACGATCATTTACCAACTTGCTACACATGCAAGCCTTACGGAATAATGTTATTTTATTCACCAAGAAGACAAGTTATTGAAATAAGTTAAAAAGAACTTATGAAGGGTCCTAAACCCCTTATATAAGCTAAACCGAACAACTACTTAACTGTTTATATGATATGATAAATCCAAACAAGCTTTGTACATGCTCTTCTCTAAGTTTTTAACATGCAAAGCATGATGTTATGTAAATAGGATGAACTATCTATTTAAATATCATCCTTTTTGGTCAAGTAAAATGAAATTTAAGCAAAAATCAGCAGCACACACACACTAATCAAATACACAAAAGATACTCAATCAAAAGCTATCACTATACCCAAACGGCAACAGCTCTCTCCTCAAATTCCAACCATAGAATTACTTCCACTTAAAACCATCTCACGAAGGTTCACCTCTGAATTATACAACTCACGTCACAGCCATCTAATCCCTCTCTACACATACAAAGCGTAAAAAAAACAGAACACAGCACACCATTTTGAGAACCCTGACGAAAACTATTACGAATAAAATATTGACCATAAAACAAATCTCTCAAGACAATCATCAGATCTATACAGTTATAAAATATTTATCATAAACTATAGAAGTTCGGTTTCCATCATTATTCAACCTCAAAACTAGTTTATAACGTGATGATCGCCCTCATTGATATGCATTATATTGACTATATTAATAGTTAATATAAAATCTCTAAACACCTCCACCTATGTCGAGATAAGATGTGATCTCATAGGCCTAAAAATAACTATTTTAGAATTTAGGATTTGTCTAACTCAGTCTAAAAGAAAACAGTTTAAAAGGTAGCTGAGGATTCCCCTCAGCTTATATCCTAACCTCTCGACACTATTATGTCAAATCACATTACTAAAACTAGTGAATGTGGGATCTCACATTCTTCGTAGATTAACAAGAATGATATAAAATACCATAAACGAGAACCCACATTTTTGTATAGTTAATATAAAATCCAATAAATAATCTCATTTTCATTAAAAAGCTTCTATTTTTTTTTTGTTACTCTGATACGAGCGGTGCCATCTTGACCAGACTGAAGAAGAAGAGCAATGTCACGTCTCATCTGCCTCACCACCACCTCCCTCTTGTTCTTCAGCAGCTTGATCCTCGCCACCGCCATCTTCGCCGCCGTTTTGCTGCGCCGCAAATAACAAACCCACATCGGTTTAGTCATTTTATTGTCGTTTTGCACAGAGAGAAAAAAAAGAAGAGAGTAGGTGCAGTACCATTTGGAGGAGTTGAAGCCGAGTCGGAGGACGGAGAGCGTGAGCTTGAAGAGCCTCTTGGTGCGTTCCGAGGCTGTGCTTGCGACCGTCATGGCGGAGTGGCGAGTGAAGGAGAACAACAATGGCTTGGGGTTTAAGGGGAAAATGAGGAGAGTAACGGTCTACTGGTAATGAAATAAAATAAAATAAAAAATAATAAGAATAAGAATGAAAAAGGATTACTTTTGTCGTTTATTTAGGAGTAATGGAGCGTGTGCCTTTTCCGGAAAATATAGCCGTTATGGAAGCTTTTACTGGAATCCTATGTGACGAGGTAGTTCCTGTACTGTGGGATCTGACGACTAAGAAAACGCCAGATGGGTGACCATGGGATTCGTGAGACTTACCCGCGACGTGTGTATTTATACTTTCTAGTTTCGACCGTAAAAAAAATAATATAAAAATTACATTTTTTTATTTAATAAAAGTATTTCTATAATATTATTTATTTAGTTCATATTTGTTTAGTTTAGTTACGGTTTTAGTTATATAGTTTCACAAGTTTTATCTCTTAGGCTTATAGATAAAATCGTTTCATTATAATTTTTATATATTAATTTTTTTTTTAGTTTTTATTGTCTACTTTGATGCGGAATAAAAAAACATAAAATTATAGAAACTAAAAAAAAAAAAGTATGTTTGAATGTATTTTTTCCTTTCAAGTATAACAATTATACAATTTTAATACCGGTTAAGATTTGAATCATGTTATTGATTGAGTAATTTAATTTTAATACTTTTGTAATTTGTTATTTCCGTTATGTCTGGTTTATGTTAACAATGTGATCTCTCTATTTGTGTGAACTTTGAGTTCATTTATTATGTTGAGGTATTTCAATTTTATATTATTCATGTGTTATGATATGTAGGATAAAGGACGTCATATTTGGTGGTATTAGAGTTTGGTTAATTCAATTGAACGTGTGTTTTGTATGTCTTAGTGTCGCATTCTTTGATTGTGTATTTGTTATATTTGATGTGATAGTGTCGTAACTGAAAAATTTTGATCTTACGATCAATGGTTTAGACTTCTAATTAAAAATCTCATCAATTAAGGAATGCTCGGAAACCAGACTAATCTTTAATTAATGGTTTTGAAAAATGATTCGTGGAATCGCCACCAATGTTCTATTTAAAACATTGAAAGAAAAAAAAAATTTGAAAATCCAATAATGGCCTTGATAACCAAAATTGGGTTCGGGGTGGATCACGTGTAGGGAAGATTTAAACACCCTAACAACACCCTAAATCGATACCCTATGACGAAGTTAACGTAATAAGAATTAATAATTTAAATATTAGATCCCCTTTTATTAATGGTTATTTACATACTTGAAATTTAAATTACACGGTTTATCCTAAGACGTCTACATGATTATTTTTATTTAGAACAATATTTATTAAAGTAAAGGAAGTAAGGGACGGGGAAGAATATTGACTAAAATACCTCTTAGTTGAGCTTTATTGAATCTTCAAATATGAAGATCTTTAGGCGCTTTTTGGCTGCCTTACACACTACAATGTGCCTCCAACTCTCAAGAAATATAAGAGAGAGAGAGAGAGAGAGAGAGAGCTTAGAACTTTCTGGAACTTTCTAAGGTCAATTTTTCGGTCCTGGGTGTAGTGCCCGAGTTTACTATTTATAGACATCAGAACTGACCAGAACGACTCGTTCTAATTTCGGAAACGGCCCGTTCTAGGCCAAATTTTTAAGGCCAAAATTTGAATATGGAACAGCCTGTTCTATATTTGAATTTTTCTTATAACAAACTGTGTCGAAACACCCCATTTTGAATTGGGAACAACCCGTTTTGACATAGTATTTCTAAGCCCTTTTTAGGAGTTTGGAACTCCCCGTTTAGATTGGGAACGACCCGTTCCGAGCTACTAAATTATCCTTATTGGGTTTTGGGCCTTTTAATATCATGTCGTATCGCTTTTGTGCTTCCAAGAGCTCATTTTCTTCATAATAGAAGTCCATTTCTTTGTTTGCGAGTCTGGACGAAATTAGGTGTCTATAGATACCCCTCTTTACTTATTCTTTGGGATAGTTAGGTGTTTCTTTTTCAAAAGCAAGTAAAGACGTAGGCATTTCGTCTGAGTCTTCTCTCTATCTCTTCGTGTTGGTACTTCCACGTCGATGTCTTCGAATAGGTGGGTTTACCTGTATCCTTGCCTTTTTAGAATAGCTGAGTGTTTGTGTTGTGTATTCCGTTGGGTAACAAGGGTGGCAAACTGTACACCTGATCTTCTGTCTTCGGGTAGACGCTTTATACCATTTGCTCAATTTTGTGATAGTGTGCCCCTTATTCTTAGCTCATTGAAGAGGGAATATGTTTCGAGCTCAACCTCTCCAGGCTAGAATGATATTGAGGCTTTAGCCGACCTATTTCTGCTCTTGTACTGGTTTTGAGGGTCCAACAACCTTTTCTGCTCTTGTACTGGTTTTTAGGGTCCAACAACCTTTAGTGGATGCTCGATGGCGCTCCTTGGTTTGACTTAAGGTACTCGACAGTGCCTTCGTTGTCGCTGATTGATTTGAAAGGCACGATGGTGGCTCACAATCGAGCTTAGTATTGACGTCCTTCGTAAAGGTGGACCTCGCTAGAAACCTTTGGTGGATACTCGACGACGCTCCTTGATTTGACTTGAGGTATTTGACGATGCCCTCGTTGTCGCTCACAAATTTGAGAGGCTCGACGAAGTGATAGAGAAGGTAAGGAGGAGTGTCATAATCAACCATGCTTTCTTCTCGAAGATTTTTGTGACTTGGGTGAGACCAGGAAAAAAAATCCATTATTAATATATTAAAAATAATATAATGCACTAAACTTGTAAACTATTAATATATTCAAAAGATTACGAAGTAATCTCACCTTTAAGTACTCTTTCCAGGCTTCATCACTAGCGGTGAGTGTCTTTGTAATTGGGTCCCACCCAAAGCCAAAGTTGTTGCACATAAGTTTTGACATATTGTTATATTGTTTCTTAAACCACTTTATTCGACTCAAGTAATGATTATACATTTTAGGAAATTTAATTTTAGTATTGATATGAGGAAGGATGACTCTCTCAACATTGAGTTTGCTAATTGACCCATTAGCATCACGTAGTCTGTAACATCCTGAATTTTCTACTAATATAATAGTTTAATTATTATTTATTTTTATATTTATTGTGAGGAATGTGATTGAGAAAATATTTGGTATTTTTAAATCAAGGTTCACAATTTTTAAGTCAACACCTCCATTTTATTTAAGGCACAAGTAGAACTTGCGTTAGCATGTGCAACACTACATAACTTTCTTCATAAAGAATGTTGTTTTGATGAATTTTCAATTGGAGCAGTGGACGAACCTTCATCTTTAACATTACCAGTTATTGAAGATCATAATTTTGAGTCTATTATTCAAACCCAGAAGCAAGAGTGAGAAGACACTAATGCTTGAAGGACTAGTATAGCTATAGATATGTGAGTAAATGCTATTTAGGAGGACATGATATTATGGAAAATTAATATTATTATTATTTATCTAGACATTTTTGTTTTTTATTATTTTTTTCTTTGACTGTTTTTAAATTTGAATGTATGAAAAAAAATTTAAACTCTTATCGTATGTTAAAAATCCAAAAAATTCTGCAAAATCCACGAAGTTCCACAGAATCCATTAAAATTTTGACTTAAAAGTCTTGTAGAATCCATTAAAATCCTGATTTTAAAGTCTTGTAGAATCCTGCAAAGTCTTAAAAGTCATGAAAATCCTACAAAGTCTTTTAAAATCCGCAGAATTTTTTTTAATTAAAACAATCCTTTAAAATTCTAATCCAATACACCGCTAAGTGTTTCAAATATCTCTTACACTATTAATATTCAAAAAAATTGCTTGCATTGACTTAACAACCACTAAATTATACTTTTTAAACCTTGGTTCGTTCTTATTCGTATTGTGGTTGGTCCTCAAACCTCAAGATTTTGAGTTTGAGTCTTGGATTTGATAAAAAAAATGACAATGGGAGGAAAAACCTTAATGCAGTCAAGATCCCGAGGGAGACTAGTTTCTAGTGAAGCTGGTAAATACTCTTACTAATACCACGATGCCCAAGAAAAGAGACACAAAATTATACTTTTTTAAAATTAAATAGAAGAATATCTATATATTTAGTCCTTTAACTTATGTCAATTTTTGTTTGTCTCTAAACAAATATTTTACTAATTTTAGTTCTTAAACTTTTGTCAATTTTCTTAATTGTGTTTTTTGTTAGTGTCAACATTTTCATTGGCCATGCCAACTCTAATTAGCTTCAACCTTAGTGTCGATGAAGCCTACTCTAATTAATAAGTGACAACTTCTTTTTGGTAGACACAAACACATTTATGTCTAGCTTTATTTGGTTTGCTTAGAGATTGCTGCTTAAACGAAACAACTTCGTAATTAGCATCAATTTTTAATATTGTGTCAACCAAAACTCAACACTAATTTACATTTTCTTGTAGTGGTTCATTAATAACCTATTCAAGTGAGTGAACTTAAGAGGTAATAAATTGATAAGTGAAAGGTTGTGATTGTCGGTATGTGTGTGGTATTTGTAGGGGAGGTAACTCTAGGCGAATTTCACTATCATAATGAAAGGGTTTGTAGAGAAGTGGGTAAATTATAGTCCATTGAGTCAAGATCTTCAACTTTATAAAAAAGGTTCATTGTAAAGATAGAAGGTACCACATAAGTGAGAAGAAGAGGCATCATGTAATAGGAAAAAATAATAAAGTTTGTCCATAAAACTTATGATGGGTATGATTCTTAAGTTTATTCATAAAACTTGCAATGAACAATGTTTTCTCAAGTTTATCTAGAAACACATGTAATCTTATTTGAGATGGTAAATTTTATTAAAATTTTCTCATGTACATAGGCAAGAGGTGTCAAACAACATTAAATATACATTTTTCTTATTTTGATTTGTGATTTGGCTTATTTTATCTTTTGATTCTCATTGTTTCATGTTTATGAAAAATTTCCCAAATAATTGTACAAGAATTGATGGTGTTTCAAGTGATCAATTAGATGCTTTTAGAAGTGAGATGAGTTAATGGGAGCCTTTGTGAGGATCTTAATGTCGAAATTCTTCTTAAA